CATTTTTTCTAAAATGGAGCCCAAATAGGGGATTAACTTTTGTCAAGTTCTGGGATAAAATGGGTGTCATAAAGGAGGTCTATGAAAGGCCACATATTGGATATTGAATTTTCTACCTAAGAATGGATATACTGGTGATTCTGTTTGTCCCAAAATACACAGTTTAGAGGTTCCTGCCTATTTCCCCAAGAGTATGTTACATGAATGAACAAATAATTGAATGAGTTTACTGTTCAGTGTGTATATACTAGAACATGTATGTAAGGTTTACGTTTTCCCCCCCTCAATATCAGAGGGGTGTCCATCCAAAGCTTCTACTCATTGAGGCACTGTAAGTTGGTTGAGCGCTCCCAGCATAGTGTGATCCCATTTTTGAGCTGTCAGATAATTTTTGAGATTAGGCTGTCAATAGTGAGAGTTTCAAGTGCGGAGCATTTTTTTGGAAAGAAACGTGAATTTTGATACTGACCGACTTCGAAAATGACTATTTTCCTACTAATCCACTTCCCAATTCCATGGGGCTTAATATTCTGTTACACCTTAATGGTTTTGGTTGAAAGAACTAATCTGTATAGTTACTATATAATTTTCTTTTCTGAAGCCTGATAATAGGTTTTACATTAAAGATTTTTTTCTTGGTAAAAGTAAAAGTGCTCTTTCCATTTACTACTTTCAGAGAGTAGGTGTTTGTAATCCAGTTATGCTTCTGGATGAGATTGACAAAACAGGTTCTGATGTTCGTGGTGATCCTGCCTCAGCTTTACTTGAAGTTCTTGATCCTGAACAGAACAAAACATTTAATGATCAGTATCCAATCATCATCATCATTATCTTCATTTATTTACAATACGTTAGGAAACAGTTGCAAGGTTTTATGTTGTCTTAAATTTGACTGGTTGACATTCTTGTTGTCACACATATACACAAGCCAGATGTGTTTAATGTTGATCTCTGGACTGCACAATTAATTGGTAACTATGTCTAATAGATTGACTTCTTTTGAGCTGCAACTTGAGAGCTTAATGATGATACAATTATTTTCCTTGCAGTTGAGTTTTGTCTTGTCTTTGGACATTTATAACTGCGACTCTGCTTCACTTTTTGTTGTTCTTATTCTACGCATCTTTTGTTTCTTGAGCATATCTTTTTGCAAAACATTCTTCATGGGGTTCCCCCATTCTCCATTATTGTGAAGCGAAGAAATGGGACCCTAGTTAAATTTTGTATAGAAGTATGCAATTTGATTATGCCTTGGGCATGCACTGATGAAGAACCAAAAAGAGGCTTGTACTTTCGATGGACCTCAATTAGTGTATATGTGGCAAGCTACAAAAAATAAGTGATTTATCATTTCGTTAATCTCATGGAAAACTTATTTGCATAGTGATTTCTTAACTGGGGTTGTTAGCTATTTGAATGTGCCATTTGACCTTTCAAAGGTGATTTTTGTGGCTACTGCCAATAGAGTGCAGCCTATTCCTCCACCACTCTTAGACAGGATGGAAGTCATCGAGCTGCCTGGCTATACACCTGAAGAAAAACTTAATATAGCATTAAGGCATTTAATTCCACGTGTACTGGATCAGCATGGTTTGAATTTTGATTTCCTTCAAATTCCTGAGGTATTGAATTTATTATTTATCATTTGTCTCACATTTATGTGGTTTGAATTATGATTATGTCTTTAGACGTGATTGTTCAAGTGGCTGTTAATTGCTTAATGCTTCACACTAGATAGCTTGACCATGGATTACTAAATATGCATGCTTTTGTTTTCTGTGATGCTTTCTTCAGCTGGTGTCATTTTTTATAGCATTGCCAGTTCAATATGTCCTGTTTTTCACCTTTTTCTTTGTTTCTGAAGTGTCATTATAATTTATTCCAAGATTTAAGTGAATACACGTGGCTCCTCCCTAATAGCTTGAGCTTTCTACAATTTTTTTTTAACTTTAGTATCATACTAATGATGTTGGGGTTCCTGCTGTTTTATTCTTGTTATTCTAGAGAAAATCCAAGTCAAAGTCAACAATAAATTTTGACCTCACATTTCATCAACTCTTATCAAAATCTGCTAAAAGTCTGATTTCTATCTACACCGAACATGGGCTAAGTTTGTTTCTCTAGTAATACGTAAATTAAATATGCTTTGGAATTCTAAGTACTTTGTCCTCTTTTTGTTGTAATTTGTCCTTAGTTTCCTTAATTGAGCATTATATATTTATTGTACGTGAATATCATATTTATGCACATATGTTAATCAGGATTAGAATATATATTTTTCATAATTAAACAATATATTTATGGCATAATTGTATATTATTTAGGTAGATTTGTACAGTTAATTGCTTTCCTCATGAACCTTCTGAATAGCAGATAGAGATTCTTCTGGTACCTTAGCATAAACGTGTAGTAGTGTTGTCCTGATTATACACATTCTTTAAGTACTCCCACATAGATTTAGCAATTTTATACGTATCGGATTGAGAACAATTAGCTGATCAACGGATCTTAAAATTCATGTCATCACTCTAGCATCTTTGATTTTCCACTAAGCCAATTTTGAAAGCTCGGTAAGAGCTGAGTCACTTTTGTCTATATAACCCCATAGCTCTTTTCTCATAACAAACAAGTGAAATGGAAATTCCTGGGCAGAATAATTCTTACCCGTGAATTTCACACCAAAGGATCCTGTAGCCACCAGAAGCAAAGATCGAGAATCTTGACAAAAAACCAAAGATGGCGCCGTCGACAACCTCGAACGAAAAAATTGGATGCAGAGATTGTCAAATATACTCAATAAAAGACTCGATGCCCCCTCTTTGTGAGAGGTTCTCTCATTAAATAGGATTAAAA